CGGAGCAATTTATTCATCGTATTTATTACGATTTCACGTATGAAGAAATTCTTCGAAAATTATTTCAGCCTACCGTTCTATCAGTTGCCACAGCCTCAGAATACAAACTTTGGGAACTTGGTTTTCGTAACAACGGTAACAACGATACACGCGTTGGTAAGCTACACGATCGACGTTCCATTCTCAAGAAACGAGCGAGACGCGTAACAGTTTGTGTTTCACACTGTACGTACGTATCACGTAATATCTCGTTTAAACGATCTTTGTTCAGCAAACTGATCTTTCGCTAACGGCAGTCGTATTTATGATAATTCCACGTATGGATAAATTCTCCGAAAATTATCTCATCCTACCGTTCGATCAGTTGCCATAGCCTTAGAATGCAGCCGGAGAACTTGATTTTCGTCATTGGTAACAACGATACACGCGTAGGTAAGTTTGTTCGGCGTTCTTCTGCGAAACAACCTTAGGATCGCGTGATGGACGGAACGAACACGCTAAAACTTTGCTCTTCGTTTCCTCTTACGAGTCGAATATCAAAGCAAAAGAGAAAAGAGACGAAGGGAGGAGAACGGCCAGTGAAAACGATAAAGAATTAAGCGTGGTAGAAACAATTACGTACACGCTAGATTATACTCCTATTCTTCGATTCTCCGAGCCATCGTTCACCTCTGACCACTCACTCGTAAAATGCAAATCCAAGTAATGGTTATGCTCGGTCGTTCTAATTCGCTTCGTTAAACGAATCGTAAAACGTTCGCTGGACAACCACCCCTGGCACTCGGTGATAATGACAATTACGCGAAAGGCCGCGCGTCCAGTGAAATCGAACGAGAAAAACACGGAAAAGCACGGTTCCGTTGATCTTCTGATTTTGATATCGCTTTATCGTTAAACGAGACAATTGTAACGCGACGCGTGAAAACCACCAACATTTGCAAGTTTCGCTAACACCGTTACGAGGCACTGTCGTCCTAATTACATCGCTCAAATTTCACGCCAATTTGAAAATGTACACGAAAGAGAAATTGGTGCGCTATTTTTCGATAGCCATTTTAAAGATACGAGAAACGCGAAAGACGGTGACCCGGTCCCACCGAATATCGAGGCTCGTCGATCTAACGAACGATCGGCTGTTTGAATATTTGTCTCGTCTCTGCGAAATGTACATATTTGCAGGAAATATCTTGCAAGTAGATTACAAGGTACGTTCGCCGATTTGTCCGAAATCTTATCGATATAATCGCGACGATCGCTCGTTTCTAAAAAGTTTCTAACAGCGTGCGAATACTTTCGCGAACCGGTGTAATTGAAATCCAGATGAAAGACGCAAGTTTCGTAAAAGTAGCCGATAAGATGAGCAAGTTTCGCGCGAGATAAACGTGCAAGCGATATTTTAACGCGTTCGATACTCCGGCATAACGAACGCGTGAATTTTCGTGTTTCGTTTTCAGCGAACGGGGAGCACTAACCCGACCGTCGGCAAGGACGAGTGCTTGAGGCGCCGTCGAAGAAAAACAATAAAACGAGAATTGGCACGTCTGGCGAAACAGTTGACTGTCGTAAAGTCCACTAGTTCACTTGTCCACTCATGCATCCAACATTGTATTCGATGCGAACGAGATCTCCACATGCGTTTCTCACTTTGTCCTCCACGTTCGCGCGGTTACTTGGCCGCATCGAAATACATACATATGTATTTATCAAACTCGGCACGCCCATACGCTGCACGCCGATTACCTCTTCAATTCCAAGAATTTCAAGCAACTCTGTTCGTTGATCGATCACGATCAGTGGGCGACAGATTTTTCGGTATTTACGGGAAATTTGAAGGCGCGCAGATGGTTGCAATACACATGCAATACGTGTACGATACAGAAATCGATCTAATCGCGTCGTAATATTCTATCGTACGTTGGTTGTAACAATTACGAAGAATAAGATCGTAAGTAATTTCGTTATCAAGACGCGTCTCGTCGAATACGAAAGGACGTCCGGATATATTCGAGCGGTAGCGTACAGACGATTCCTATCGAACGCGATTGCTAGCTGTAACGAGCGATTTCGCTCGTTTCTTCCGCTAATCGACACGTTAGATGTGTAACTTACGATCGTTAGCACTTACATAATCGTACATCCGATGTATGTGTAGTGTGGTATAGGCTACGTGAGAATAAAAAAGGCTTGTTTGAATGAAATTGTTCGACCGAAGAAAAATCACGCGGACAAAAGATACTTCTCGCTCGTTTAACTTTGACCTGAGATAAAAATTAAAAATATTGATATCAACGAATATTTATTTGCTTCGAAAAAAAAGAGGAGGAACAAGAAGGAAAAGAAAAAAAAAAAGATAGCGGACACAAACAAATTATTCGTCTTGCACATGTATGCGTACGTTGAACCGTGCAATTTTGGAATTATACGCTTTGCTTAGACGAATACGTCTGCTGTTCGTAAAGCACGCGTGACACGCGTGTATTTACGGTTTCGATCGAAGCAGTAATTTTTCCGTTGTCAAAGAATCCGTAAAAGCTTGGTGTATTAAGCGTAAATGAAATAAAAGTAAATACGAAATAATAATCATCTTGTGGCCCGAAAGTTTATCGTGGTTAACCATGAATCTTGCAATTGATTGGAGGAAAAGAAACGAAAGCGTTTAATAAAGCGTAAATCGTCGTTATAAACAACGAAAAACAATTAAACTGTCTTACGCTTTCTCCAATTTTAAACATTGTTTTCCAAACGATTTGCGAAGAAGAAGGAAAAAAAAGAAAGAAAGAGAAAAAAACGGAAAGAATGTTTTAAAAGAAGAGTAAATCGATACACCTCTTTCATCGAAAAACCATTTATTTCAGCGAATAAATATTCTATGAATACTCTCTACCTAGGAAGTACACATTATATATATATGTATATATATATAAGTATGCAGTATTCGCCGCCCTTGTTTGGATACTGAGAGTACACAATTCCATTAATTTTTAATGCTAGGTACACATTGACAAACAAACGAAAAATGAAAATCAGGCGAAAAAAGGAATGGGGTTCGCAGACAACGAGCGTAAAGGGATAGGAGCGTGGAGCGAGGAAGCAGGGGAAACAAAGGGAAAGAGACTGGAGGACGAGAGAAAAGAAAGAAGGGGGGGGGGAAACAAAGAAGGATGGTGGCGACAAGCTATTTCGGAGAATAAATGAATGAAAGTTGCAAGTTGTCAAAGTTCTCAGCGAAAGGTGTTACACGCTTGGGATAATGGGTCCTTTAATTAATAAGAGAGGAACTATAGAGATCCTTTTTCTATTTTTTCACACATACTTGCGCAGAATTTCAAACGTTAATAGACCGTGACGATATCATACAGTTAAGAAAGTAAAACGAGTAATTTCGAGAAGGCCGTAACATTTGTAAAAAGAGAAAACATTCCTAAAACTACTTGATTGCGCTCGAGAAGGAAGAAAAAGAAAACGATAGAACGTGCCGTTTCTATCTTCGTTTTTATCTTTGTCGTAGATCACGAAGATTACGGAAAGTTCTAAGAATCTGAGGATAACGTACTTAGAAACGAGCTTAAAACGTCTTACGTATACTGGGACGTTCGCTCGGTCGGCGTACTTGGCAGCCAAGCAACTAGAATATCGCAACGATACTACCATAATTTATCAAACGATGAAAAAACGTAGCCGCTGCGAACGGCTGTTCGAATCTCATCTTCCTAAAAACCTGCGTCACTTTCATCGAAGTCGAAGGCTGCAAGTTAGCCACGATATACACATATACAAATATACCTACGTAAATTATAATTGTCATTGACGCGATTTATCGACAGTCTAGGTATAGCGCGAACGAACGTTCTCTGTCGCGTTAACCCTCAAAGGCTATTGCGGATGAAATTTCTCGTGACTTTTGTTTTGATGTTATCGCAATGATACGACCGCCGTGTTACAGTGGCAAACGATAAGTTTATTTATTTCTCATCTTACGTTCGATGTAATAACAATAATACAAATTCACCCATACGATTAACGCGATATTCTTGAGAACGATAGCTTCTAAGAGTTAAGTCCGACAGTGGCTCGCGATCGAATAAAAACGGTACTTGTTGATTCCCAATATGATCAGTCAGGTGTTACAGTTCGTACTTATACATATACCAAAAACGGACCGTATAATCACTTTAGAAAAAGAACATGCATTCGTATAAGCCTACGTACGTAAGCAATGTTTTTGTCGTAGATTGCCGGGGTGAAGGGGGAACAGGGACATGGCGATGGTGGGGATGAGAAATTGAAGGAAACTCGAAGAGAAGCGACAAAGTACGACCTAGGTACGACATATTTACACCACGACTCCTACACACTTTCCTATGCACGCATTCACATGGCTCACCAAAACAGAGAAACCGGACAAAAATAAAGGAAATAAGAGGAGAAGAGAGCGAGAAAATTTTGCGTGTATGTACGTATATTTGAAAAGAAGATGTCTGTGTGTATGTGCGCGCGCCAGTTCGTACGCGTGTGTGTATTTCTCTGAAAAAAAAGAGAAAAAGAGAGAGAGAGAAACGGAATAGAGAAGAAAGAAGATAGATACATAGGAAAAAAAAAAGATTCACTGTACACAGAGATCTGTCAGCCAACACGTTTTCACCGATCAACGACGACTACCGGAAACGAATCGTTTCATCTTCGCATCTTTGCTTTTCTTTCTTTTCTTTCTTTTTTTTTCTTTTTTTTTTTTTTTTTAGAAAGGCAACGATGTATGTACGTATATTTGAAAAGAAGATGTCTGTGTGTATGTGCGCGCGCCAGTTCGTACGCGTGTGTGTATTTCTCTGAAAAAAAAGAGAAAAAGAGAGAGAGAGAAACGGAATAGAGAAGAAAGAAGATAGATACATAGGAAAAAAAAAAGATTCACTGTACACAGAGATCTGTCAGCCAACACGTTTTCACCGATCAACGACGACTACCGGAAACGAATCGTTTCATCTTCGCATCTTTGCTTTTCTTTCTTTTCTTTCTTTTTTTTTCTTTTTTTTTTTTTTTTAGAAAGGCAACGATGCGCAAGGAAACATTGCGATAAGATGATTGTTTTCGTTTTACATTGACTCGTAAAAGTTCCTAGCTCGATAAAGACGGACCATTAAAAACCAGTTACCGAGGAGAGATTAAAAATGCGATAAGCTCCCGTATAAAAAATAATTCTTTCGCGGTCGTTCTCTTAGATCAGGTGTAAACGCATCGACACCTTAATAATAATACCGTGACTCTAGGAACTATACGCCTTGTCATGAATCATAAACGACTATCAAGGTGCCCGTTATTACTAGTTTAAAAAAGACGGACATTGGTCGATCTCTTCCGATCGCTGTCCTGCTTGCATTCGTTAAGTTTATACGAGCAATCTCGTTTCTCGTGTTCCATAAGGAGGGATCTGCGGTACTTAAACCACCCCGAACAAGGCACTTTCAGTCTATCGAATGAGAATTCGTCGAAGACGGAACGACGACGACGACTACGATGACAACGGTCACCGACTATCGATGGAAATCGAAGGAATTTTCAATGGGAAACGAACGAGGAACGGACAAAAGGAGTAACGTAGCGAAGCTTAAAAATAGGAAGACGAAAGGAAAGGAAAAGAAGAGAAGAAAAGAGGAGAAATGGAAATGGTGGGAAGAAACAGAATAATTATCGATAATCTTTAATAGTAATAGACTCTAAAAGAATTAAACGAGCCTTCGCATATTCCTCGCCGTCGTTGCTCTTCTCGAGCTATAATTCTCGAGCTATGAGCATCCACATTTCTCGACGACCATGCCTGGTAATCGCGAGAACACGATTTGATACTCGTTATCGAAGTACAGCATCGTGATCTCGGAGAGTTTCCTCGGGGCGCAACATGGACCAGAGTTGTTAGGCGGTTCCGCCAGGCTGACGATGTGGGTGTTCGGATATGCTGGCAGGAAGGCCATCGGACAGTCGCCCGAGCAGTAATTGGCATCGTACCTAAGGCACAAAATCAAAATCGTAATCGCATCGATAAAAGAAGCACGGCGATAACCACATCGGTCGTGATCGCGCGATAATTCCACGACGACGTATCGACATCGACACGCGTTCCGTACGCAACCGGAGACCGAAGAAATTTCCCATTTTTCAAACTATAGTCGCAAAAGTATGAATTTCCGTGGATGTACGCGGATGTAACGATACGATAGTATATTTTGGCGCAACGTATAGGTCGCTACTCCACGAATATCAGGTAAATGATGTTGAATTTCGACTCTGACCGTTCGAAAGCCACCGTTCCGAGAATAAAAAGAGACGATCGCTTCGCTTTCAATATGTCGCGGCACAGGTACTTACTTCTTGGGAGCGATTATCCAATCCCACCCAAACTTCTCAAAGTCGACGGTGAGCTTGTATCGACAACATCTGGTCTCCTGGCTAGCTTCGTCGCAATTAAGTCCCACGTTTCTCTTGATCCTCGCCCCTCTTCTCGAGTCGAGTTCTTGCGTCTGTACTTCGAGGTACGGCGCGTATTCAGCTCCGGGATTAGTCTCCACCAACTTCGCGTTTCTGCGATGATTAGCTCCGGGACTGGAGATCTTGAGCGCTACTCCCAGATTATCCCGTGGATGTTTGAACCATTCGGCGACCATTCTTCTTAACTCGATCGTTACCCAGTTGCCTCTGCAACCGACCGGCCGAGGGTGTTTCGTGGTCAAAGGTGGACCCAACGATGGCCCACCAGTCTCCGTCGTGCCACGAAGGATCCTTTGCAACGTGATCGTCACTGGACCATCTTCGTGACTTTCCGTGCTTTCCAAATCTCTAGGCTCGTCCAGTTCCGAGGACTCTTGGTTGCTTCCCCATATCCACAGGGATAATTCCGCCCTCGTCACGCGATGCTGGATTACCTTGTCGGAGAATTTGAAATAGAGAACGTCGAAGCTGCCTTTCGAGTGCCGTAGCCTCTGATCTGAAACCGAAAAATAGCAGCAGCACGGTTAAACTAACAAGAAACGTACGATCGAAAGAATACAAAGTATGTGCCGTGAGCACAAAGTTGTACAGAGAGCCGCAGAAGGGTAAAAGAAAGAGAGCGAAGAAAAAAATAGAACGGAAGAAAGTAACGAAGAAAAATCTGGCAAGATCCGACGAAGAATCAATGGTCGATATAATCCGCGTGCTACGATGGTCGTGCACGACGGTTACTGCTACGTTGCTGGGTTCCTAGGCTCCGCGATTGGCGATAAATCGAGAACAACCGGCGATGCAGTTGCCGCGCGGTTTCTTGCCATTCGGCAAGTACGAAGACTTTGGTTTGCTCGCGTGCTTGTGTCCGATATTTACGTCGATGGCAACGACTAGCGTTCGAGCTAGCGTTTCAGGCGACCTGCATCACGGCGATCGACGTTCGGCGCAAGTCGATCGTCGAAGAACAGAAGCAAGGGAGAACGAAAAAAGGCGAAGCGAGCTTATACAGACGCGTAGCGAGGCGCGTTAGTCTCGATTCTATTCAGGCCATCGTTCGATGCGCGTGTACCTGTATGTGTCTCGGTGAGAGACCGCTTCCATCAAGGGTAAAGCTACCTCAAATCGTACCGTTACGCGACCACGTTTTTCCTCGTTCGATCAATCGACAATTTCTTCCTTTCCGTATCGATACCGTCGCGAGTTTGTCCCGCCATCTAAACAAACTCGTCCCGGTATTCGAGCGAATCCCAGCACGTTTCTCTATGTTCAATGATACCGCCTTTCTCAGCCACCGACCATCTCTCACCACGTGTTACCGCTCTTTTCTTCTTTTCTTCGCTAAGAGGTTTTCTCGCGACGATCGCTTCTAGAATTGGACTCGCTTGTGCACAACGTGTCCGAAGTAACGTCAACCTGCGTTCAACGTGCGCTGACGGAACCCAACGCGAAGATAGAATCGCCGTTATACATACGTGTACGCGATACACTTACGACACGAGCGAATCGAGCAAGATTCTGCAGCGGCGAACAAGAATACCAGATTTTAGCTTTTTCAACAACTTTTCTCTTTTTCTTCTTCTTCTTCTTCTTATTTTATAGTACGTTGCACTTCGTTCCGACGTTTCGTGAACATCGCGTTTCGCTTGTTCAGGGCAGACCTGAGACTATTTCTGCTCCTGTCTTCCGAAGAGTCTGCCCTGAAGAAGCAAAGTGGAATGTTCACGAAACGTCGGAACAAAGCGCAACGTGCTAACAAAAACACGATCGAAACGCCAAGAACCGCAAATATATCGAGAACGACAGAATCGCCTTCGGACGGTTCGTCCTATGAGAAAATCGAGTCGCGGGTTTCTCAAATACGTTGACGAATTTGATTAATTCTGAACTAGACGGGCGTAGAGGATCGAAGAGTCGGCTGGCGATGGTTCGCCCGAATTCGATATCGTTATCGTTGTCACTGTCATATTCCGCGTTGTATGCGTTTGATTTTCGGCGGCATTGGGAGATAATTATTTATCAGAATGCCCCCTTCCTTTCGCTGCTTGCGAATTCGTGCTTTCTCTTTCCCACGCCAGACGCATCGTCATGGAAACGAGCAATTAGCAGTCGGAGCATTCCGCGTACCGAATCCCTCTTTAAATCGATTTATACGCCAGTTAATTGCGGGCTGACTGACGGTACGTCGTTCTTCCCTCGCGTTCATCTCCTCCTCCGCCTTTTGGTCTCTGCCACTCTACCCACCTGTCACAGGCAAACGTCGTTCCCAAACAGAATTACCAAAAATCCTAGGAAACGTAGAAACGTCCGTACGTTTGAAATCGTAACACCGAGCGTAGGACGTTTCGTATAACAGCCAGGTTATTTGAAAATCTTTCATAGGATACGCATAACGTGGCGATTCGTAAAAGGTATGTGCAAGCTATTGCGAGCCACCGTATGTGACAAGCGTAGCAACAATGGCTCGATGTAGGTTTCAACGCTCGTGCCGTTTTCGTTCGAAAGATTTTAACTTGCTCGTCAGCTACTTTTTTTTCTTTTCCGTTAATTTAGGAGTTGCCCTTCTTTGTGTTTGCAGGTCAGACGCAGGAATGAGTCATGCTCCCGCCGAAAGGCGTGGATGGAAAGAGCGGCGAGACAGAAAGATGGCAATTTTATTTTCGTCCAGACGCGGCTACCGCCCGTCTGGCACGAAGTCTTCTAAAAGCACGTCTAACGTGGTAAGGGTGGGAAACCACCGAGTTCGAATTCGAAAAAGGGCAAACCGAACGTCGCGTTGATCGTGTAGCGCGTGGCGTTCGAAAATCCACCGAGTACGTCGTTTAACGAAGTTTAATGGGCGTCGTTCGACGAATCGATAGGACGATCCTGTCCACGGCCGATACGAACGCGGTTCCTTTCGAAAATCTCTGTCGCGCGATCGGAAAGGAATTGGCCAATTAGAAACACGTGTCGACGGAACGCGGTACGTGGATTTTATATTTGGTGGCGAGAGCAGTCAGACACAAATAAATGCGTAGAGTGAGCGCGACAGAGGAAGAAAGAGGCTGGATGCGGCGGAAAAGAAAAGAGAAAAAACCGGTCGTAGCGTAGAACAGAGAAACAATAAAGCTAAAACATTAAGTACACACCGTGCTTCGGCGCTTGAGATAAATATAGTTTTAGCGAACAGAGGTCAGTCGCATTGCAAGACCGCACTATAGAATCGTTTTCTAGTTAAGGTTCTTACGCTGTTCGGTATCGTGTTTTCGATTCATGCACGACGCGTTCCTACATATTCGCGATATTCGAGAGAAAGCTATGCAGAAAACGTTAACGTTTCTTACGTTACACGCGTAACGCACCGTCCAACGGTACACCTTGGCGATTGCGTGTGACGTACGAGACGAAAGTCGAGCGATAACGCGTCGAGTGGAGGTTTCGTCGAAATGTACGTCAAAGACGAGCGGACGTACTCAAAATGTCGAAATATAGCGAGCAAAGTGTTGGAAATAAAGAGACAACACGGTTACCGAAACCGTGATCGTCGAATCAACGAAAGGGAAAATGAAAAGGAGAACGAAGTGAGACGAAGTTCGTACGAGTGGAAATGATGGAAAACAACAACGGTGATACCACGGTGTCGTGGCCCTGCCTATAAATAAATGAAGAAATAATTGATACGAGAGACGGTTTCACGTCCCCTCGTCCCGCGTTCTCATCCTCGGTGCACTTTTCGCCGCTATCGTCCAGTTCTTTCACTCTTCGTCGTAGCAGCTGTCGCTTTAAGGGCGGCGACGTTTAAAAATATCACGCGACAAATCGTCTACCAACGGCACACGACACGATAAGATTAAACATGCGTCAACCAAATGCTCAAAATTTACAGGCGAAATCGCTCCAATTCGATCTGACCCGACCCAATGCTCGTACAGTACGCCACTGTTTATAAGTAACCGTATACTTTGATCGACTCGTATCGGATCGTTTCACGAATTTCTAGCGAAGCTTGAGAAACGTTTAACCAGAATCAGACTTTCAACTTGTTTCTTGAAAAATTGTTCCTTTTCGCTAACGAATTCGTTCGGGTAGCTTTTACGAGTTTCTATACAAGTTTATACAAGTATTTCGTTTCTAGCGTGCGTCTGTCAAAGCCGTGCCAGCGAAATCCTCTTTTCAACGTCGGTTGCACCGTTGCCTCGTACGATGCATATTTCGTTGTGTTTTCATGTTTCGTCGCAATCGCGAGCAATTGCAAAGAATCGAAGATTACGGAAGATTTTACGTCGCATTTTGCGTCCTTCACAGAGAAGCAACATCGTGAATACGAAAGGATTCGACAACGAACCAAGAGACTCGATCGAATTCGTTCGTTCGAGCGCTTGCAACTTCGCAAACAGGGTAAAACTTGACGCGAGTCCAGAGATGTATCTACACACCTACGCGCGACAGGTCGTCGAACCCCAAAATTAACGTGCTAACGCATCCATTTCAATTGGTTTCGTTCCATTTCGTTCCATTTCGTTCCATTTCGTTGCCGTGGCTTTTTCCCTAGCAGTTGTTTCATCCCCTCGATTCGTCACCCATCAAAATTCGTAGAAAGCGACAGTAGCAGGGGATATTACGCGATTCCGAGAACGTTCGTTCACGCGACTCAAATTAAAATTACTTGTCGTGCGATCTACCAAAACACGTACACGTCAGAATCTGAAATTAATCGCGAATCGGACGCACGATCGAACGATAAGTCTCGTTTATCGCGTACAGAGAAATACCTCTGAAAGGCGGTGTATCTAGAAGCAGTTATCGTGTTTCCGGTACTCGTTCGAAGAAGGAGTGCTTTCCGCGTGGAAAGTTCGAGTCGTCAAAAGGGAACGGAGATCCGGAGGGGTTCTCGTTCGCCGCGAAACCGGACGTAAAAACTGCCGCCCTCGAGTAATTTGCATCGCGTGACGAAACCGCCCTGCAATTGCAACTGCACTTCGACACTATAACACGGCGTAACTCGATAAAATTCACATTTGGGTCACGCGTTCCACCCTCTTTCTCCCTTTCTTCCCCCCAATTCACCCTTCGTTATTCTTTCTTTCACCCTTATTCCCATTCTTTTGCTTTCTCTCTCTCCCTCTCTCTCTCTCTCTCTCGCGAGAAAGGGCCTTCAGCTACGAACCTGCTTCACCGTGTATCGCGTGCATTCGAGACCCAACGTGTCCCTTTTAAAACACGTTAGAAGAGCGAAGAAGAAGGGGAGAAAGATAGAAAGGCGAGCAAATAAAAGCATATAGAAAAAGGCGCTTCTTCTCGCAACCGACCGTGTTCCGATCAACGAATATGCAAAAGTAAACGGGTACACGCGGATAGTTATCAGCGATAACGCGAATCGTTCCATCGAACGAATTTCCTCTCGCGCACTGACGCAGATGGGAAAACGCCGGAATTATCCACCGGATCGTACGGTTAACTTTCTCCTGGCGAGTCGTAAATAAAAATATGTGGACGAATTTTGTCGGGAAGCTTCCGCGTCGC